CCATACAGAAAAAGAAAAGAAGTCCAAATTCTGTAATTACCAAACATGAAATATGAATATTTACAGGCAAATTTCTGCTCACTGGTGCTCTTTTCCTTTGATTGCATTATATTTTGGTTTAAGGGTAAGCTGAATGTCTGTAGTGTTTTTTTTTTTGTTTGTTTTAAAGCTTTGGTGCTTTTCAATCCTATCAATAACGAAAATAACAGAGAGTGTATCATTTTAAAACATTTTGTATCGAAAGGAATCAAAATATTGATACATTTTTTAACCACCAAATAGCGTCGAGACAATGAGATACTGTGATGAAACAGAGAACACAGATAGTGGTTTCATTTACATGCTTTTTTTTTAATTCATGACTTTTGTTTAACTGATGTCCAGAACAGTACAAAGAAAAGCAACTATGCAAGGGGTTCTCCAAACAGGGGCTGTGCTGGCTGCTAACTACTGTATGTAATGTAATTACTGTAGATCACTACCTAATGTAAACCCCATTAAGAAAGCCCAAGCAGTCCCTTTAAGGATTTGAAGTTGAAATGCTATAACTTGTTTTTCATGATCTCGCCCACAGCTGTATAGCGACACATTATCTCCGACAGGCTTCCTCAGACAGGGACCATGCTTAAACTTTCTGAACTATCCCTTTATTTTCTAAAAGATCAGATTCAAGCATGACTGACTGAAAAGTTACTTGTCCAGTTTGTATATGACCTAAATCAGAAATTTAAAAGGGTAATTGATTAAATTGGATATAAAATGTTCATGTGATCACTGGCTTCACTTGTGATGATGCACTGGATACTTCCTCTGTCTATAAATATTTCTTTTCTTGTAACCACTTCTCCAGAGAGTAGAGTAAAAGTAGAAGAGACATGCTGTACTGAATCAAAATATGATTCGCTCATAAGGTCACGCTCGCGTCATGTTTGCCATGATTGAAAGCAAACCCACATCACTCTCATCCTCACCACCTCTCACTCTCATTATGCCCCCCTCCCCACATACCGCTCAACCCCACCCCTAAAACTCTCCCACACCCCCTTGCCCCCCGCCCCTCGCCTTGCCACTGCCTCTCTGCATTGATGCTAATAATTACCGCTGAATGGATCCGCAGATTCCCATGGATGTCAGCGGAGCCTTTGGCCTGTTCTGTTGCTTCCCTCCTCCTCCCCCTCCTCCTCCTCCTCATCCTCTCCTGCTTCCCCAGTCTCCCCTTCCCCTCTTCAATGGGGATTAAGAGAGAGGCGAGAGATGGAGAGTGTGAGAGAGGGTGCTTTGCCAGAGCGAGGGTTTCCCATGCAACTGCCTCATCTATGTCACCTTGCCAATCAGAGGCTGTCACCATAAATAAACCAGACACACTGCCGCATGTTTTATGATTTTCGGGAAGAACATAACCTTAATGTCACTATCCATTTGCCTGATGATGTATTGATAAAGTTCTTACTTGGGTAAAAATAATGAACTCAAGGTAAATCCCATGACACTTAAGACAGTGGGAACCTGGTGGAAAATAGGTTTCCCCATAAAGAACAATTGTGGAAAATACAGCGAGAAAGGAAAGTTGTGGATTCCCACCACTTCTCCTGTTTGAACAAAGTGGAGTGGATCGACGTCATGGTCACTGGGAGCCCACGCAGCAACAGCATGCCAGAGGTAACCGATACCAAGTCAACGCTCATCCAAGCTCCAAAACCCACTAAAGCCATGCTTAGTTCCAAGGAAGTCCGAGGAGTCGCCAATCCGGCACACCGCAGTTAATCACAGCACACCACAAGGAACGGCAAGAAGGAGAGAGCATGAAAACTGTAAAGAGTTGCACTTAAAAGTTGATAAAAAACTTGGAACGATGGACACGATGAAAACAGAAAGCTGTACAGGAAAAGGAAAGAGAAAGTTATCTTATTTTTCCCCCATTTAAACCAGTACACACCAACACTACCATGCGTCACACATGTCTCTTTCACACAATATGTAGCATTCGACATGAAATGTGGACCTTTTCCAAGACCAAGTAGTAATTGTGTCATTTTTTTCCCTCAGATGGAGCTCCAATTCGAGGAAATGGTTTTGGAGTGCACTTAAAGGCGTCTATGCTGCAGGAGTGTTTGGAACCAACAAGGTTTGGCTCCGTGCTGCATGTCAACCTCACTTCAAATTATCCTCATTAACGACAATTCTGAGGGGAAACGGCCATTTGTATGTGTGTGATACTCTGGTGTTCAGGGTCTGTAAAAGTTCTGGATGCATACCAGAATGAAAAGTGGCATTTATTAGTCAGGGTCATGGATTGTAGAGAGCTGAGCTGGACAGCCAATAGCAGCTCCCCTGGCTCTGAATCTGTGGGAGAACATAACATTTCTTACTTGACGTCAAAGACCACAGAGGGGAGGAACTCCCCAATCACTGACCTTTTTCAAACTGAGGGTACACAGAAAAAGAGGCAAAAGATAAATATATTGTAGGCTGAAAGTTAAAGCTACTGTAAGGATTTTCAGTTTGTGTCAATTTTGGCGACCCTTGTAGACAGAGGGTATGTCTCTTCTCTTTGCACATCTTGTCCCGTACATGCATACGTTTTTCTGATTGAAAAAACCTCATCTTGCTTAAAATGCAAGCAAACACACTTCCAGTCCACACACTGAAAATATTTCTTTCTGACTATGATCCATCAGCAGTGATTTGCATTAAACATAACACAATATAGATTAACGTATTTCGGATTGTGTTGTTTACTTGTGTGGGTCATAAAGAGGCATCCGCATTAATTTAAGTCAGTTACATAACGACTTCAAAAACTCTGACAGTAGCTTTAAAGCTCCTGTGAGGAACTTTTAGTTAGTGTCAATTCTGGCGACCCCTGTGGACAAAGCATGCCTTTACCTCGTTGCCAACATGTACAGTTCTTGATGAAAAATTCTCATCAAATGTAAAACTCATTATAAATCTTTGCCGTGAAACTTAAAATAAAAACAAACGGGGTTGTAAATCAACTCATCTGACACCTACCACTCGGCAGCTATTCCAGGTATTAAAAATAAATGTTAAATCCTGTGGCTCATGGTCTTGTTTGTTTTTAAAGCGGCATTAGTAATAATTTCAGACTGTTTCATAACCAGGTCAAAGTCCTCATAGGAGCTTTAAATACAACTTTACATACTAACATTGAGATTAACTGAACTAACAATCCAAAAAAGAAATGGTACTGTTGAGGACGACAATAAAACATTGGGCCGATCCAACAGATGTGAACCCTCCATGCTGAATTAACAACCTAATCAATGTAAGAAAATGAATCATGGCTTGTGGGCTGTTTACCCCCTTTTTTAATTGCCCCCCTCTTACATCCCACAAACACACTCCCTCCTTGAGAGAGAAAGTGAGACACATTGAAAGTTGGCAGAGCTTCAAGAGAGAGCTCACCGACCGACACAAAGCTCACGCTTGACATTAAAAGTTTGTGGCTTGACATGTCTCGCTGTTTCTTATTGCACAAAGTTACATCATCACTTAGACGGTGGAATCAAGAGGGAAGCCGCCATCATACTCAAGACAGTCTTCCTCATCCCGCCCTTCTTCTATCTTTTCCCCAGATTGTTTTAGCCCAAACACAAGAGCGACGCCGCCCGAGCTCATTATGGACTGACAAACTGAGAAATACTGCCAAGTCCTGCCCCACAACCCTGGGCCTAGCTCTGTTGTCGTGGCAACCCAGCATCCCGGAACATAGAGGGGTGGGTTGGTAGTGATGTGTTGAGGGGGTGGGGGGGTTGCATGATGTCATCCCGTGGCATGGAGGGGGCCAATCAAACCCTGAGAAAATTATGTCACCTTTTGTTGAGCCGGTCCATTCAGAGCTTTAGAAGTGCAGTGAATTGAGAGCTGCAGAGAGGTCATTTTTCCCCCTGAGCGGTGTATGTGTGTGAGAAAAAGCAGGGGAGAAAAAAAAAAAGAGAGGAGGGGCGGCAGGGGAGCAGGAAAGTCCATTGTGGACATGCTAATGTTGTTGACCATAAGCACGGCCATAAAGATGTCATGAAGCTCAACTTCCAGAACATCAGCCCCGGGGCCTTCACACCCCCTTTTCTGTTTCTTCAGATGGCGATGACCTCGTCGCCCACAAACTTGATTCTTAACATGATTGCTATGACGCTTTGAAATACTTGTCAGAACATCGTCAAAGGCCGGGATAAAAGCCTGAGCACACAGCAATGGAGCTAAACCCGGACCACTTTGTTTTATCACAGAAAGAAAGAAAACAATACACAACCCCTTGAGGAATAATTACCCCTTAGCAACTCTGCTACCCTGCACTTCTGCGCCCATCCCCCCTGCCCCCCCAAGCCAACTCTTATTGAATCACAGCTAAAATTGACAGTGAAAGACAGTTGAATGGGGAGGAAATGCTGAATCGTTGAACTAACTTGAAATAATAGAAAAGAAATGCATTTGTCTTTTCCCTGGAATGTCTTTCTGCAGAAGAGAAGGCCCTGTTGGGATTTTTTTTTTTGCCACAAAATGGTGAAAACTCCCTGCAGTTCCACCCATGTTGACCTAGACTGTGACATTTAGCACTTCTCTGTAAACATCATATATAAAGAAAGTACACACAGAGGACAGAAATACTTTCCCTGATGTCATCTTTTGTAGGAAGAAAGCTTCTCTAAGAAAAGCAAAAGTGTTAAAAGTTTAAGATGTTTTTTCTGAATCAATTTGATATCACTTTACATATAACCATATCCCTATAACTGGTAATAGAAAACCCAGAGATTTCCACTAACCCTGGACTTTATCAAAATTTAAATGTCAGATTTTTCCACATTTGCTCAGCAGAAGTGAAATAGAAATTTATCCAACTCCTGATTGTCACCCTCACAGACACTGGTCTGACAAGTAGTGTAATGAAGCCAGCATGAGTGAAACCAACAGCAGACACAAAAGTAACACATTATCACTTGTCTATCTGCAGGTGCATCGACAAATAAAACAGACAGCTGTCTGTATAAACTTTTTTATTTTCCCTAACAGGCTTTCACAGACACAACAAACGTTATGAGCAATCAATCATGAAAATAAAACAACTGACAGGGTTATTAAGCAATATTAACACAAGCTGACAGATGTCACAATGATACGTAGTGTCAATAGGAGAGGTTTTGGTTTGTACCTTGATTACAATGGCTCCTTTGTGATCTCAATTACAAGATGTCAAAAGAGAGGTTCATTTCCAATGAATGACTAATCCCTCTGAGGAAACTAGATCACATTTGTATTAATTAATTATACACTCCCTCTGAAGAAATAATATTTGTATGTGGCTGCAGTAATGCAAGGGCTACAAAAACACAACCGAAAAGGAAAAGCAACATCTAATTATTTTCCACTTGAAAGTCCAGCACTTGTTGATTCTGTAACCAGAGCAGATACACACACAGGGACATCTTAATCCAGGTAAAGAGAAAGTCAAACAATTCATAGATCCACTGTGGTTCACACATTAAAGTGGACATCCACGCAGCACATTTTCCAACCGACAGCTTTGACTCATCAACCATAATGTCTCAGCCGCAGAAAACACTCCCATGTCCTGCTGCTTTTATGGCACAGCTCCTCCAAGTCCAAACGGCCTGCACTGGATCTTCAGAGAGATTGTCAGTCATATGGAGCTCTTGCTGTTAGTAACCATGCCAGGAGAGAACATCTGCTGCAGGGGATACTGGTCCAAGGTCCAATCCAGGATTTAGTTGGATCCTAGAAACATAATACAGAAACTAATGATTGACTGAAGCCAAAACCCACATTAAGCTTGACACATGTTTCTCATACCCACACTTTAAGAAATAAGCAGTACATCATATTTTCTTTGGCAAAATTCTTTGTTAAAGCGTTAAGAGTAACTGATCAGTGATGTAGCATGAAAACAGCAGAGCAAATTGATCAACACAAACTCCCCCTGACCTGATTCCTTTCACAGGTTTGGCTGCTTCACAATCTTTCCACACGAGCTTGAGGCTTCAAATTGGCAAAAAAAAACGAGAGTTGCAAATAAACCAACAAGAGCCTTACCCACCACTAAAACTATCACTTTATACTCTGTGGCAAAATACAAAATTTCCATCAGTGTCGCTACAAATCAGTCCATTAATGGTGCAGGTGGAGAAAGCCAACGTCCAATCCTATACCAGAAGTTAAATGCTGCCCTAGTTTTGTTTGAGGCCTTAAACATCCTGTGAGAAAAATGTCTCTTAACAATGACTTCAAATATAGCATCTTACTACGTCTTGAATAATATAGTGTAAAAGGTTGAGGGATTATTTTCATCATTATAAATGTGCTGTTTCCTTATGAGAAAAGTACTGATCAGTTTCAGCCAATACTCATTCCCAAGGTGTCAAACTACTGACGCTCAAGGAACCCTTTGCTTCTGCAAAAGATGCAAGAGGCTTTCAAGTAGCAGTAGTATGACGCTTAATAAAGTAAGTGATGTAGTAGAATGACTATTGAAGTCTGCTGAGTGTAGAGGTGAGGGTTTCTTTCTTACCCCAACCTTGTTGTTAATTGGGTGCTTGTTTCTGGCAAATAACAAATATTAGAACCGATCAGTTATTATAGCCTCCTGTGCTTAAGGGCTACCTGGAAACAGCCTCCAGTGTAGCCAGGGATTAGAAATACATGATTTAAGGCCAATAAGTCCTTTTTTGTTTATCGTCCAAAAGGCAACTTCAGAAGTGAGAGTCGAGTTGAGAAACACGGCAAAGAGTTGATCATTAGCTGCGTGTGCATGGTGTTATCTGTGTAAGACAGTTATTAGAGCTCAAGCATCCTAAAATGACTACATTATGGGATTGTTTTCCCCTCCTTTGCCCTCACCAGTGTAAAGCCATAGGACATACAACAGTGACTACCTAAGGTGATGCGAACGGATGAGATGTCAGAAAAATGGGACAAATTGTCAGTATTTGACAATCTGGGATGAGAATGTGTTGTCAGTGCACAACATCTGCTTTTTTGCACAACAAGGTCAAAACTTCCCAAGATGAGGTAATCCAGGTAGGTGGCCTCTTGACAACCCGCACTCTGCTTCACCTGTGCGTACACACACCGCCCACAAAATGACATCGCTTTGTCCGCCCCCGCAGCTCTCTGGTTGTAATGGCAGCAGAGTGGCGGGACCGGCCTGTCCCGCCTGTTCTTCGCCCGGGGTAGGAACAACGTGTCAGAGGATAAGTAGTCATCCATCAATGTTTCTCATCTGCCTTTCAGCCTGTCTGCACCTCTGAGCTGGTTTACCTGCAGTGAGTCACGTTTCACCAGAGTACAGGATGTAGCCTCACTCTCTTTCTTCATCTCTCTCCTTTTGGCCTCGTCTTTTAGCTACTAAACTGCAATAACTATTTTGCTTTTTGACAATGCCTTTTCAGCATTATCTCCCAACAGTAATCCTTATACCTCATTCCCTCCCTTAGCCCTCCATTCCGGTTCCTCTTTCACACGTTTCTCTCCTATGCCTCACTTTGGAGCAGAGCCAGTCTGGCAGCATCAGCAAACAGAACCAGGTCCCAACCTGCCTGTGCCTGGGGCTGCGACTGAGACCGGCCCCTATCGCCCTCCTTCATCAGCACATCTACTGTACCTGTCTGCTGGCACCCTGCCATCCACACACACACAGTTCCCCTTCATTTACCCAGCAAACCCGGTGGATGGGTGAAAAAGAAGATAATGAAAGGCTAAAATCTACAAAAAAAAAACGACTACTCATGTTGGGGTCAAGCATGTTTGACCTTCATCGAGAACACCCACAGGTACCCTGTATATAGTACTGCTCATTCAGGCTGCTGGCTGCCCTGCACAGGCCCATCAACAGGTTTCTTTGAAGGCCACCGACTCTGTGGTGGGCCATCAAAGCATATCTTCATTCAGTTCCACTGAAAGGATCTTAGGCTCCTGAGAGACGCCGTGTTTGAAGTGATATCTCTCTGCCACTGCATTCTTTACCATGCTGTCATGACTTGAGTTTCACAGTAAAAAAAAAAAGCAAAGAACATGGGCATAAAGCCAGTGCCACCACCCTGATCATGTCTCACATACATGTGAACTACCAGCACTTTGTTCTGATCAGCGAATGTACCGTACTCTGGTTGTTTGTAGCAACTGACAGGTCATAATAACACAGCGCTGTGTGTGATCACCGATGAGTGAAGATCAAATAAAACACAGAGTCATCCCTACCTGATGAATCCTTTGAGATCATGTTTCTATTAGTCAGCGTCTTCTCGGCGCACACCTGAGATCATCTGAAAGAGATAAAGGACAAGGAAATAAAATCATTCACAGAGGTGCTCAAGAAGAAGACAAAAACACTGGAATCAGACGTAATCTAGTACAACGTTGCCCAAACTTGAAAAACACTCTTGCAAATTTGTTTTGTGTGACAGTACACAGAAGGAACAATAACCTCCTTCTTCCGTTTACAGAGCTATGGTGAAGTTTTAGTGCCAAACTTTAGAGTCATGGAGGGTCCAAGATAAGAATGATGGTGAGCTTATAAACAGAACAAGAAAACATTTTATGCCACATGAAAGCTAGCAAAATGCCAACAATCAGTGTATGAAACATGAAGTTTCAGTTATAGCTTCAGTGATGTCACCTAGTGGTTTCTAAAGAGGCATTATGAAGCCCAACAATGGTCATGAGTCGGTGACCATATCAGAAATGCAATCTTCACCTGACTTTCGATCAAACTATTCACAAACAAAGAGGTTGAACTGATGCAGGCCTCAAGCCAAGTAGAGAGCAGCTACAACACATCCACCTGTGTCAGTCAACTGCCTCATTATGCAAATTGACTGGAACCCTTAGCCTAATAATAAATACAATTATAAAACAAATATGTCTAGAGATAGGACAGTGGACAGAGCCAGAAACAGGGCTGAGAGAAAGTGGAGGATGATTTGGGGTAAAGGAGCCACGGGTCGGATTTGAACCTGGACCGCCCGCTCTTGAGGTATAGACCTCTGTACATGGAGTGCACGTGCCCTAACCCTATACAGATTTTAACCAATGAATGGCTTTCATTTCTCAACACTGAAGGTTGCACCTTGGTTTTGCCACCAATTGTATGCATATCCTCTTAATGGTTCCAGTAACAAGGGGGTATGTATCAGCCAATCCTCTAGTCTGAGTAATGGAATCATATTGTTAAGGAAAATGATATTTATACACCTCTAAAAATAACAACACAAATCAAATAAGTCATAAAATATTTGCCATACCTTCATCACTGGTTTAAGCACATGTTTGGTCACAGAGCACACAGGAGGGAACACTGATTGCTCAACATACAAGCCACAGTGGCTGGTAAATAAAAGTATTATGAAACAGTGATTTGTGACGTTTGTGACAGCTCAGACTGAGTCCCTCAGTTTTTCTGTTGCGCTCTAACACTCAGAGGAGAGTTGAATTGAGGACCAGCGATCAGGTAAACTGGTATTCTCCCCTCTACAAGTTTCAGCAAAAACAGCAACGTACAGAAGAGTATGCTCGCCTGCAGCAGGCCTCTTTCGGTCTGTCTTGGGCTTGGACACAGGCTATGTGCTGAAACAGATTTCAATCTCCATTATAACAGGTCCACCTGCCATGTCTCACTTGTACTAAGTCCAAGATTATTAAAAGTCTCGTGGTAATTGGAGTGCAAAGACTAAAACTGCTGTCAGCGTTGTTGAAAATCTTGGCTATTTGTAGGTCCATTAAAGCTTGAATGATTAACACGTTCTATTTCTGCCAAATCTTTCAAAAATAAAAGTCCCCTATTTTCAAACAAGATAAATCTTAAAAAACAAAAAAAAGCAAACTTCTCTGAGGGGGAAAAGTCCGGTCTCGGTGCGTGATTATGTCTTCATATGCTCAATCCCTTATAATTCTGTAATACCGTGATATAATACGTTATAGGAAAAGCTACAAAAACATACCGTGATTTAAATCTGAGGTCCACCTGTACCCTCTTATACAGGCTTAGTTTTCGCTCAGCTGTCCTCACTGCCTTCTTTTGCATTTATTTAAGGCTCTTGGTCATTTAAAGCTGGTTTTATAATAGCCACAGGATGCAGACCTTCTCCAGTATCTTCACTGAACATTTAAAAAGTCAAACCTGGAATAGTGACATTGATCAGCCCACTCTGTTAAATGCAGATCTAGTTTCAGAGGAGCTCTGCAGCAGTTGGCAGGCCAGGAGAAAAGAAGGCAGTCAAAGTGGCTTTTCCATTATGGTATTGAAAAATAACCGGTGTGCTGGTTTTATTTTATTAGGGTTAATAGGTTCAGGTAGATATTGGATCATGAAACTGTTTTTGATCACAGGTTTCTTGATCCCGACATGTTTAAGACTGCTGTGCTCTGGATCATCGACAGCCCCGGTCCCTCTTGATCCATTCACGGACAATGGTGCTCTCTGCTACTGAGTTTCACTATGCAAGACCAGTTACCTTGGCAACAAATGCACTGTTTCCAAGTGACACAAAGACTAAACCGAAGAACCTTTCTTACAGGTTGAAGGCTCCAAGAGTCGAAGAGAAAACAGCAATAACAGGACGATGGGGAAAGAAACTGAATACCGGCAAATTGCTTCCCAGAGTTTCAAGAGGACATGGTAAAATGATTCTTTCTTTCCTCTCCCTTTTAAAATACCTCTCGCTGGCACCAGGCACCATAGGTAGCTATGTTCTGGTCCCATTTCTTTTATATCCCTTCTTGTATTTCTGTTTTTTCGAGCTATCGTACCAAGCTAAGTGAGTTATCATGTACACCAGCAGGCTGGAAGCTGCATGCAGCTCAGCTTAGCGTCCAGATGAGGTAATGTTTAGAAGGCTGGTGAGCCAGGAGACAGGCTGGTCAGGTCTTGATTAGCTCAGTGGTAGGAGCTCTCTCTAATATTGGACACCCCTTTGTGTGGAGAGATTACTACCTTATGAAAAACTGCCCCTGCTGACGCGCCCGATGGGATCAGAGCTCCTGCCTGCTTCATCGTCCTGCTTATGAGATCTCCACACACACAGGAGAGAAACACACAACCAAACACCAAGCACACACACTTGAACTTCTAAGAAAAGACAGCAGATCATTCACAAACTCATAAGTTCTTTGCATGGACACATCCAATAAACATGGCTGGAAATGTCACCTCCTACCAAGAGCCTCCTCTCTTTCACTTCTGTCTGCGATGACCACAACTGATGACCCCCACATGGAAAACAACCGGCATTTATTAACAAGGCCAGATGACACATAAACACACACTCGGGTATGCTCACTTGCTTTTACTGTGGTCGTCTCCCCCCGGCCACTCTCCAATGAAAATCACATGATGGCCCACATGCAGCGCTATAACAAAATAAAGGAAAATCCCCACCCCAAAAAACATCAACAAACAATGTTAAAGAAGCAGATTCAGAAGCAAACCCCTTTAGGGGATTTGATACAAGCAGTCGTATTAATGAAGCCGAGGCTATAGCATGGTTTGAATTATTTGATGTTCCATTAGTTTAAAATAAAGCTCTGATTAAAATGGTGTGTCAACACATAGTTGCAAAGAAATGTCTGAAGCAGAGTTTGACTTTTTTTTCCCGATGTGTTATCTGTTAATTAGCTAACTAGAGGGTTTATATTAATGTATTTTTCTCAAATAAATCTCATTCAAAATGCAAACCTGAGGAATGAGTGCAGCCTTCTGGTTCGTTTAACTGCATAGCAAACATTAACACCTTCCTATTTCCACGGTAAGGGCGTGTACTTTAACGAACAGCGCACTTTGTAAATACAAAGTAAATACAAAGTATAATAAATGTGGATGTAGGCACACAAGCATGTAGGCAAACATGGATGCAACCACGCACCCACCCACCCACCCACACACACACACCCACACACACACACACACACACACACACACACACACACACACACACACACACACACACACACACACACACACACACACACACACACACACACACACACACACACACACACACACACACACACACACACACACACACACACACACACACACACACACACACAAACCTGTCGGGGACGCTGGCACAACCTTGCGCCAGTGGTCCTTTAAACCAGTCATGTGAAACGACCCGTACCTTTCTGCAAATCAGATTACGTCTCCGAGCTGAGGTCTGCAATTCCACACACACATTTAAAGCTCCAAGCTCAGGTTCACGCAACAGACACTCTTACACACACACAGATGCACACAAACCCACACAGCTTAATCAGATTCTGCCCCACAAACCTCCCGTTTTACTGAATGCATGCAAACTGCCAGTATCAGTCAGTCCCGGAAATACTGTCTTAAGCACATATAAACTTACAGAACACAGTAATCATGTATGGACTATGCAAAAATAACTAAATGAATAGGAACAATTTTATGTTAAGGAAAACAGAGGGCTGTGATAAGCCTCCTTTCAGCAGCGCTCGACTGCTGTTTGGCAGCGCTGCTTTGGAATGAGCACATGTGGAAACATGTTTATAGTGTGTTTGGCTGGAATGTGAATGATAGATGATTCGCAAATGATCCAAATCCAATTCAGGTTACCAAGCACTGATGTGTGGAAGCAGGAAAATCACACAAGTTTTCGGTCCTTAAACCTTGTCAATTTGGATTATTTGTGGATTTACTTTATCTTATCTGTAATGCACAAATTTCCCCCACGGGGATCAATAAAGTTTATCTTTATTTTTATTTTTGAACAAACTTCATTACATTTTAGGACTGAGTGTGTGAAGAGATAAATAAGAAAAGTGAACAGTGATTAAACATTATGAGTGTGCAAATAACTCTATGCTGTGTCCATGACAATCTAGGATTTTAGCTCCAGTAATTAGATTTGCAACAATCCAAGGTTTTTGCTCAATCTTCATCATGACGTAAAAGAAGCTCGTCGGCTGGCTGCTAGTGGACTGGCCTAATTAAGGACAGACAGTTGGAGGAGGTACAAGCCTCCGTCCCAACAGGATCTACATTAAGTCTCCACTCTGCTAATCAGAAAGCCCTTAAACTACATCAGCATGTCCCTCTGGCCAACCAACAACCAAATCTCATTCATCTTGCGAACATTTGAGGGAAAATGTACTTGCAAGATAGAAAATCAGTCCCTGCTGTCTCATTACACATTTTAATAAACTAAATCCTAAAAGATAAGCCTTGTTGCTCATTGTCTGTGCTCCTTTTGCCCTTGGTGTCGTGGAGGTCAGAGGGGTGGGACATTGTGGGTGGCAGGAAGCT